TAACTGTGAATGTGAATGGGATGAACTCTCCCATTAAATAAAAGTGAATAGCAGAGTGGGTTAAAAAACAGAATCCTCCAATATGTTGTTTACAAGAAACACCTTTAAAGCAGTGAGACACACACTATAAAAGGCTAAAGTAGAATATATTATGCTTCAGCTGAAGTATAAAAAGCAAGAGTAGTGATCCTGACCTCAGACAAAGCAAAACCAAAAATAGATCTAGTTAAAAGAGGCAAGGAAGGAAACTCCATCTTGCTAAAAGGTACCATAAATGAAGTAATATCAATACTAAGCATATGCACTAAGTGGTATAGCATCCAGATTCTTCGAGGAGAAGTTAAGTGAGTTATAAGAAGAAATAGACAGTAAAACTATACTAGTGGGGGACCTCAACCTCCCCCTCTCAGAACTAGATAAATCTAACTACAAAATAAATAAGAAAAAAGTTAAGGAAATGAATAGACTTTTATAAAAGTTAGATATGCTAGACCTCTGGAGAAAATTGAATGGAGATAGAAAGGAATACACCTTTTTCTCAGTGATATATGGCACCTACACAAAAATTGACCATGTATCAGGGCATAAAAACCTCACAGTCAAATGCAGAAAGACAGAAATATTAAATGCATCCTTTTCACATCATGATGCAATAAGAATTACATGTAACCAAGGGCCATAGAAAGGTAGATTAAAAATTAATAGGAAACTAAATAATTGAATTTACAGAATTGGCCCCAGATGCCCAAAGTTTTAGTTCTAGAACTGACAGGCAGATAGGGGGCGGAAAGTTCCTGGCCCAGGGTCATGACGAAAGAAAGAGGCATACATAATGTGTTTGTTCTTCAGGAGAGGAAGATGGGAAGTGGAGATACTCTCGGAGAGGTCAGACTCCTTGGGCAAAGTCCCCAGGTTTATAGCCTTCCCAGAGTTACTGTGTAACCTTCTATCTGGACAGCTAGGAGCTCTAAGCTCCTTGCCACTTCTGGGGCTCAGAGCAGGTCTCCCCAAGTTACTGCAAACAGCGTCTGCCAGTCACTACTTCATCTGTAAGAAAGATGTCAGAGGTAACTCAGAGCTAGTGTGGGGAGGGCTCTCTCCTATCCTTCCTCTGCCTTGTCTGTCTGCCTTCCTTTGGGTGGCCCTATCCTCCTCCTGCCCTGCCAACCTTTAGTATATGAAATCATGGAAAGGACCCTGGATCAGGCATCAGGACATCTGGGTGCCAGTCCGTGCCCTTCCCCGATGTCACCTGTGTAGCGGACAAGTCATACAGCTTTTGTGGGCTGCCCCCCTGCCTAGCCTGTCTCTAAGAAAGGGTTGTAAGGGTCTGATGGAGGAAGGGGTGAGAAGGTGGCCCTCATCCTAGAGGATCATCGATTGAAAGTTGGAAGGGGTCATTGATTCCAACCCCCTCTTCCCCATTTTATAGATGAGGTCCAGAAAGGGGACAACAACTTACCCAAGGGATTAAATAGCAATTAAGATTCTTCAAGCTCAGATCCTGACTCTGGCTACAGGGTCCTTTCCATCAGACCCTTATGCTTTATGCTTTTGCAGAAAATGCTGACCCCTTCCTTCCTGCAATGCCCTCCTTCTTCATCCGTGCTTCTTACAATGCCCAACTTCTTTCCAAGCCCAGTTTAAACACTGCCTTCCACATGAGGCCTTTCCTGATCCCCTTCCCCCAATTGCTAATGTCTCCTCTCAGTAATTGTTGTTGTTTAGTTATTTTCAGTCATGCCCAACTCCTCATGATCCCTTTTGGGGTTTTCATGTCAAAAATGCTGGAAGAAAGTTGCCACTTTCTTCTTCAGCTCATTGTATAGATGAGGGCACTGAGGCAAACAGGGTAAAGTGACTTGCCCAGGGTCACCCAGCTAGGAAATGTCAGTAATTACCTTGCAGCTACTTTGTATAAATTCTGTACACAACTGTATGTGTACATGTTGTTTCCTTTGCTAGACTATAAGCTCCTTAAGGACAGGGACTGTTAAATTTTTATTTTGTATCCCCAGTGCTTAGCATATATATGCCTTTGCATATGCCGAGTGTTAAATTCTCACTGATTAGTTGATTCTGTCCTTACTACTTTCGCTGCTTTTGGCTCCCCAAATTGCCATTGGATAAATCCTTTGAGACCTTACCTGGGGACTCTAGGCCCCTCCAATCTCTATTTCCACTATAGCCACAGTTCTGTAGACTCTGGCCATCTCAAATTCTGTGTGAGTGTATGTGTGTGTGTGAAAGAGAGAAAGAGATAGAGAGACAGAGAGTGTGTGTGTATATGAGAGAGAGAGAGAGACAGAGACAGAGAGAGAGACAGAGTGTGTGTGTGCGTGTGTGAGAGAAAGATAGAGAGACTGTGTGTGTGCGTGTGTGTGTGTGAGAGAGAGATAGAGAGTGTGTGTGTGAGAAACAGAGTGTGTGTGTGCATATGTGTGTGTGAGAGACAGAGAGTGTGTGTGTGAGAAACAGAGAGTGTGTGTGTGCATGTGTGTGAGAGACAGAGACAGAGTGTGTGTGTGCATGTGCATGTGTGTGTGAGAGAGAGACAGAGAGCGTGTGTGTGAGAAACAGAGTGTGTGTACATATGTGTGTGTGTGAGAGACAGAGAGTGTGTGTGTGTGAGAGAGAAAGAGATAGAGAGACAGAGTGTGTGTGTGAGAGAGACAGAGTGTGTGTGTGTGAGAGAGAAAGAGATAGAGAGACAGAGTGTGTGTGTGTATGAGAGAGAAAGAGACAGAGAGTGTGTGTGTGTGTGTGAGAGAGACAAGAGACAGTGTGTGTGTACATGTGTGTGTGTGAAAGAGAGACAGAGAGTGTATGTGTGAGAAACAATGTGTGTGCATGTGTGTGTGTGAGAGAGAGACAGAGAGTGTATGTGTGAGAGAGAAAGAGACAGAGAGTGTGTGTGTGCATGTGTGTGTGTGTGAGAGAGAGACAGAGACAGTGTGTGTGTGCGTGTACATGTGTGTGAGAGAGACAGTGTGTGTGAGACAGAGAATGTGTGTGAGAAACAGAGAGTGCGTGTGTGCATGTGTGTGTGTGAGAGACAGAGAGTGTGTGTGTGCGTGTGCGTGTGCATGTGTGTGTGTGAGAGACAGAGAAAGATAGAGAGGTGTGTGTGTGTGTGTGTGTGTGTGTATGTGTATGTGTGTGTGTGTGCAGAGAGGACTCTACATCATGGATGTAAAACCGGAAAGGTCCTTTGAGGTCATTTAGGCCAAACCCCTCTCATTTACAAATAAGGAAACTGAGGCAGGAGAGGGTGACTCGCCTGAGGTAGGTGGTGGAAGAGGTGAAGCCTCTGACTTCACATCCATTGCTGTTCTGACTGTCCTGTGCCAGGCTGTTGAGAAGGGAATGGACAGTACATGCCAAGGCTGGGATGTCTGTGTACCTTCAGTGTAGGGTGAAGAGTCAGTCATATTTATGGCGTGCTTTAATGGAAACAGAGAAAACCCCCTTCTGCCATCCGATCTTACCCCTCTCTTGTCATAGTGTCTGAAATCCCACCATTAGTGCTTAATTTCTTTGTCCTCTCTGGAGATTGCCCTCCCAAGCCTCCTCCTTTAAAATATCAAGGCCCCCAGGAGGAGGAAGCATGGGGGAGTGCCCAGCACCTTAGAGCAATTGGCTCTATCAGGTGATTCTAACAAGAATTATTTACTTTTCTGTGCAACTCTAATCAATTCAACATTGTATTTGTTGTACGAGGCACAGTGCTAGGCACCCTGTGGTTTACTTGTGCTTTACTCACAGTGGCTACTTACAGGGTGTGGGACCTGGGGTGAGTCATTTCATTTTTCTGAGCCTCAGTTTTCTCATCTCTAAAGTGAGAGGACTGGACTAGAAGGTCTCTAAGTACCCTCCCAGCTTGATTCAAATCAATAAGCATTTATTAAGCACCTACTATGTACCAGGTACTGGTGCATCGGGGTGTGTGGTGTATTCAGGCAGGACCAGCACCTCTGGTGTGAGGGCTGCTCATCTACCTTTGGTGTCCACCTTTACCCAACCCAACTCTCACCGGTGGCTCCAAGAAGCTTTGGCATTCAAGGCCACACCCTAGTGAACCATTTTGGCAGAAAGGCCAAACCAGGTTGAGGGTAACAGACAGGCCTCAAACCCATCAGTGAGTTAGGGGGATGTCTACCCTAAGCATGTAAAGTCTTCCCCTGGCTGAATGGAAAGATGAGAAGAATTTGTTCCAATGGTACATTGGTACTTGTACATAAGGGTGGCTGAAGCAGGCACTGTGGAGCTCTTAGAGCTTGGCCAGACATTGAAGATGCCAAGGTCATCCACTGCATCCTGGGTTGTCTTGACTTTTATCTTGCCACTGGACTTTGATGACTTTGGAAGAGAGAGTGAGGCTGAAGACTTTGCACAGCTCTGCCTCACTTAAATCTAATTCACAAACAAGTCAAGACCGTCACCCATGACATCACTGGTCCTCTTTGAAAGTGAGTGAGGAACAGCACCTGGGACACACTGAAAGGCAAAAGACAGCTCCTGCCCTCAGGGAGCTCACAGTCTAATGGGGGAAACAAGAAGCCACCAACTGACAAATGAGATGTAGACAGGAGAAATCAGAAGTAACCCACAGAGAGGAGGGGTGGCCTTGAGGATGGGAAAAGGCTTCTTAACGGATGCTGCGTGGCTGGTATGAGTATTACTATATGCATTTAATAGAGGAGGTAAACCAAGATTCAAAGGGTTAAGGGCTGCTCCAGGTTACCCAGCTAGAAAATGTCTGAGCGGGGAGATCCATTCTCTCACCACTGGTAGAGATGAGCCAGCCTTTGGAGGTGAACATGGAGAAGAGGGCAAAGAGAGGAGAGGAGATAATTGAAAACAAGCCTGGTACCACATTGGCCCCCAGGTGCCTTCCTTGGCCTTCTGAGCTTGTGGGGACCAGGGGGACTGACAGATGGTGACACGGTGGGGGGAAGTAAGGATGTTAGATCATTACAAACCTCTCCTCTTTTTGGCAGAACAAAATGGAGCTTTACCACATGGACCTGAAGCGGGGGATGACGCTGAAACTGAAGGGGAAAATTCATGAGGATGCGAGTTGGTAAATCTGGGGGTTGGGGGGTGGGATGGGGAGCTGGGGATTATCTAGGAATTCTCAGAGGGCACAGCGGAGCCCCTGCCAAGGAAGGTCCTCAGAATCATGGCATGTCACAGAATGTTAGACTCACACTAGAATTCTAAGTAACAGAATTAACAGAACGTTCAACTTAGAATACCACATATCAGAGAATGATAAAGATCTTAGAATAGAGTGTTGTTTTCTGTTTTCTCTGCAAAGGAGGTGAAAGTGGTAAGAACAATAAGTAACAGGATGTTTCTACCCAAGATAAGTCAGGAAGCACCCGGCTGTCCTTGGTGAATTCGTTACCTGGCCCAGGTGAATTTCCTCTTTGGGTCCTGAAAGAACTGGAAGGGGGTTTCAGGGCTACTGTCAGAGATGTTGGAAAGGTCATGGGAAACAGGGAAGGGACTGGAAGATTGGAGAAGGACAAAGCTTGTCCTGATTTTCCAAAAAAGGAAGAGAACAGAGTTTGCAAACTCTAGACCAGTTGAACCTGACCTGGAAGAGATCGTTAAAGAGATGGTTGGCAAACATTTAGAAAGGGAAGTGGTGATTACAAAGAGCCAGCAGGATTAGAGTTAGGAATAAGGTTAGGGTTTCCTGGTAATAAGTCATGCATGCCACACTAAGCTCATTGCCTTTAAATTTCTTTTTCTAAACTGGTGGAATGCTGTGAATATTGTTTGTTGGTGTTGTTTGGTCATCTCAGTGATGTCCAACTCTTCATGACTCCATTTGGGATTTCCTTGGCAAAAAACTGGAGCAGTTTGCCATTTCCTTCTCTAGCTCATTTTACAGATAAGGAAACTGAGGCAAAAAGGGTAAAGTGACTTGCCCAGGGTCACACAGCTAGCTGGTAAGTGTCTGAGGCTGGATTTGAACTCAGGTCTTCCCGACTCCAGGCCCGACACTCTATCCACTTCACCACCTAGCTACTCTTGAAACAGATTGGGGGGTAACAGAGGTGTAGCTGTTCCCCCAGATGGTGTGTCTGAACACCTGTGCATGTGGAGTCAGACATGACTGAACAACAAGAGAAGCTAATGAAACCTTGGGCCGTTTCATTAGTGGAGCCGGCTTCCCGGCACGGAGAGATGACAGCCCCATCATGCTCTGCCTCGTCACACCTCCTCGGGAGGATCCTGTTGGCTCTGGGGACCGTGTTTAATGTGATTGTACATGTGGAGCCCATCTCAGATTGCGTGCCATCTTGGGGGGAGGGGTTGAGGACTCCAAATCTTATGAAAGTGGATGTTGAAAACTAAAAATTAATTAATCAATTGATTAAATTTTTGAAAAAACCACAACAACGAAATAAAAGGGAGGTAGCCTTGCTTCTCCAGAGCAAATGAGAACATGCTTGGTTCAGGTAAGACGAGAGTAAGAAAACAAATGAATGATTTTTAAATTAAAAAGGAGAGTTTAAAATTAAAAAAACAAAACCAAAAAAGGACATTGATCATGGACAGAGTGTCCAGAGAGGCCGGGAGAAGATGACAGGGAGGACGTGATAGCTGCATTCAGTGACAGCACACATTCTACAGAGCTCTCAGGTTCACAAAGCCTTCTGCAGATATTCTTGTTTGATCCTCACAAAAGCCCTGCTTGGTAAGGGCTGTTATCCCCAGTTTCTACAAATGAGGAAACTGAGACAGGGTCGTGCAGCTAATGAGTATCTGAGACTAGACTTGAATTCAGGTCATTCTGACTCTAGATGGTGATGGTGACTAACATTTATAAAGCACCTACTATGTGCTAGGCACTATGCTAAGCATCTTGTAAATGTTCTTTCATTTGACCCTCACAGTAACCCTATGAGGTAGGTGCTATTATTATCCCCATTTTACATTTGAGGAAACTGAGACAGATAAAAGTTACATGACTTGTCCAGGTTTACACATCTGGTACATATTTGAGGTCAAATTTGAACTCAGGTCTTCCTGACTCCAGGCCCAGCACCACTGAGCTGCCTCTTCAAGTATCTGAAGGAGGGATTAGACTTCTTTCATTTGACCGCAGAGGGTAGAGCCTGGCACCATGAGTAGAGATTTCAAAGTGACACATTTAGGCTTGAATTTGAGTATCGAGCTGCTCCAAAGTGGAATGATTCTGGCGGTGGGTGGTTCTCCCTCCTGAAGGTTTTCCGATACAGGCTGGGTGGATGGCCACTGGCCTGGCACGCTGGAGTGATTCCACTGAGGCCCCTTCCGACTCTCAGGTTCTGTGATCATTGCAATGTGACCATGCTGGAATCTCAGAACATTAGAATCTTCTCACATTGCTTGCCTGCTACTCAGTGTGTGGGGAAGGGGCTGGAGGGAGGGAGAGAATTTGGAACTCAAAATAAAAAAGAAAAAGGATATTAAGAATAAATAATAATCTTTAAAAGAATGTTAGAATTTTGGAATTGAGCAATCAACAAACCAATAAGCAGTGGTGTAATAGATCTATGAACAGATATAGACACTGTGAGTCAGGCATTTGGTGTGTGCCTGTGAGCTTGGGTTATGGCTCTAAAGACAAAACTGAAAACCTGGACCCTCAAAGAGGAGAGGGAGAGGGAACAATAGTGTGTACATATAGAGGTCAGCGAGCAATTATTAAGTGCTTACTGTGTGCCAGCTAGTGTCTTAGTTGCTGGGGATACAAGGAATGGCCCAAATTCCCCATACTGGGATCTGACCTGGGTCTTGAGGGAAGCCAGGGGGCCAAGGGCCAAGCTTGGGGGGACAGCTAGTCGAAGGCCTGGGAGATGGAGTGCTGTGTGTGAGGAGAAGCAAGAAGGCAAACGTAGAGCCTTCTTAGGGTGTTTGGAGGGGAGTCATAAGAAGACCAGAAAGGCAGGATGGGGCCAGGAAGGAGTTTCAATGCCACATAGAGACTTCTATATCTGATCCTCAAAGTAATAGAGGGTCACTGAAGGCTGAGCAGGTGGGTGGTCCGGTCTGACCCTGGTTTTAGGAAAACCACATTGGCCATTGGGTGGAGGATGGATTGGAGAGATGAAAGGTGAGGCAGAGAAGCCACCTGGAAGATGGTGAGCAATAGTTGGGGTAGAAGTAACGAGGGCCCCATCATAGGAGAGATTTGTAAAATTGGAAACATGAACATCTGGCAGCACCTTGGGTATGTGGGCTGAGCACCAATGAGGCGCCAAGGATTGCCCCAAAGTGATGCACCTGAGGACCTGACAGGGTGGTGGTGCTGCTGGCCATGACACCAAGGTATTTTGTACGTGTGTGTGTGCATGGGTTTTTCCCCAAGAGAGCGTGGCCTCCTTGAGGGCAGACACTAGCATCAGTCTTGTTGGCTCCAGCTCCCGGCACAGTGGCCCTTCCTGAAGGCTCGTAGGATTGGCCTGGCTAACCCAGTATCCTCTGACCCTTGGTTTCTCTGTCCTTCACTGCCCGTCACGGCCACACAGGGTGAACCATCCTCCTGCCACAGCTCGTTGCTTTCTCTCCCCAAAGGAAAAAACCCAAACTCTAGCTAATTAATGATATTGAAGGTCTCATTTCTAGAGCCCCTGAAGGTGGCAGTGTGGCGTGGTAGGCAGAGCTGACCTCCAAGGTCTAGGTTCAAGTCTCACCATTTACTGGCTGTGTGACCTTAGGTAAATCACTTCCCTTAGTGCCTCAGGTGACGCCCAGAGACTGCAAGTTGTAGACCTGCCAGCCTGCATTGGTAGAGGGAGTATCTTCACCTTCTGTTTCTTTTCTCAGAGAAATCACAGGTCCCTTTAAGATTTAGGAAATGCTTTCCACATGCCAACCCTGGCAGGTTGGGAGATATGGAAACAGAGGCTCAGAGAGGTTAAGGAACTTGCCCAAGGTCACACAGCTAGGCTCTGCAGGTCCAACATTCTATGCCTTACTTTCTCTGTGCCTGTGCCTCTTGGCATGGGCTGCGTAGGGAGACTCCTGATGCCTGCTCCAGCCAGATTCGCACTGAACTCTGACTTTTCCCCGTCCCTTCCATCAGCTGCAGGAGGAGCTAATACAGTTTGCATTTTCAGTCTTTAGTAAAAGGTGAATCTCTCCAGGAGATTGTCCCCCTCTGCCAAAGACCATCTAGTTCTCTTGAGTCAGAGAAGGCCTCTGGTCAGTGCCAAGCCTTCCCAGGGACATTTGGAGTCAGAAAACCTGAGTTCAAATCCCACCTCTGTATAGCTTTAGGAAAGCTACTTAACCTCTCTGGGCCTCACTTTCCTCCTCTGTAAATTGAGTTCTCCTTCCGTTCTAATCTATAATCCTTCGGTGAGTTGCTTCCCCTCTCTGGGCCTACTATGTACAACGAATTGCCGTCACCAGGCCTTCAAGCTTCTGCCCTCTGGGATCCTTTGAGGACAAATCTCTTCTCCCATCCTACTCTCATGGCCCAGACTGACCACTCACTCCCGGCCCTTCCACATTGGCAGGTTCATTATTAATCTGGGCACCGATCCCCAAGATCTGGCGCTGCATTTCAACCCCCGATTTGAGGAGAACGTCATCGTCTGCAACTCCCAAAATGGCGGCAACTGGGAGAAGGAGCACCGCGATGGTCACATGTGCTTCCAGCCAGGGACAGAGATAAAGGTGAGAATGTGGGATGGGGGTGAGGGCGCATTACGGGGTCTAGTGGGAAACGCAGGGTTGGCTAACGCTAAGAACTGTGGACCTGGGGGAGGGAGGCCTGGGTTCCAATCCCACCAGACACTGACTGGGTGACCTTGGGTATTCCACTTTGGCATCAGTTTTCTCCTTTGTGAAACGGGAGGATGTCCATGATAGCTGTGGAACGGGGTGCCCGGTGAGGGCCAAATAAATCACGTGAACCCCTATTTAGACACTTAGAAAAGTGCTAACCATTCCTGATCCTGATAAGCTTGTCAAAGATGAAGGTTAGGTAACTCAGGCTCCAACACTCCCTCACTTACTTGCCTGCTGTGTGAACTTAGGTAAAAGGCCTTCCCTATCTGGGCTAATTCCCTTATCAGTAAAATGAGGGAATTAGATTAGATGAATGGACCTTTTGTTTTCCTGGATAGAAGGTAAGCTCTTGGAGGGCAGGGATGCCCCTCCCCCCAGCACAGTGCTTGACACAGAATAAGTACCTGTAGATTAAGGGGAGACCACTTCCTAACCCTAAAGGGCCCCATTGGGTTCTGAGCTGTTAGGATTCTAGTCCTTAGAGCTGGAAGGGAACTTGGACATCATCGCCCACTCCCCTTATTTTACAGGGGAGAGAACTGAAGCCCAGAGAGGGAAAGGGACCTCCCTGAGGTCACACAGCCAGTCAGGGCAGAGCTGAGGTTCATGCCCAGGTCCAAATCCAACGCTCATCCCAGTAGATCTGGGCTACCTCTATCAGTTCAGTCCTGTCTAAGTCTTTGTAACCCCACTTGGGGTTTTTCTTGGCAAAATCCTGGAGTGGTTTGCCATTTCCTCGAGATGGGAAAACGGAGGCAAACAGGGTGAAGTGACTTGTCACACAGCTAGTAAGTGTCTGAGGCCAGATTGGACCTCAGGGAGATGAGTCTTCCCTGCCAGTCCTAACAGGTGCAGAGTGATATGGTGGAGACAACTCTTTAGTCTCAGTTTCCTCATCTGTAAACAGATGGCCTAGACTCAGGATCCACCTATGGTCTTTGCTTGATTGGGATTCTTGGATAACCCCTGGCTTTCTTTCCCTTCTCCCCCCTGCACAGCTGACTGTGACCTTTGAGGAAGATGAATTCCAGGTGAAGCTTCCTGACGGTCATGAAGTCAAATTCCCCAACCGGAGGGGGCAAAGCCACCTCTCCTACTGCTGCGTGAAGGGTGGAATCAGCCCCACCTCCTTCAAGGTGGAGTGAGGGCAGAGGGTGGCCAGCCTGAGCAGCTCCCCTCCTTCCTTAACCCCATGAGCCCCAATAAAGGCTTCTGCTTCTTACCACCCAGGCTTTGGCATTTCCTGGTAATTGGCCTTTCCCAGTCCCCACCATGGGTGGAGGGTTTGGGTTTCTCTCTTCTGCCTCTTCCATCCTGCACTATGACAGCCAGTAATGGAAACCGAGGGAGGCCTTAGAACAGGGGATGTCAGAGTTGGGAGGGGCCTCAGAATTCTACCTAGAATGACAAAGCTTAAAGATCTTAGAAGGTGGGCAGGTCTAGTAGGACCCTTAGAATTCATCTAGAACTCTCTTCAAGAGCACAAGTGGCCAGAAGGATGAGGTACCCGGGTCTGGGACCAGGACTAGAACTGGATTCTTGCCTCTGAGGCCCCCATTGCTCTGATTAAGGGGCCAGGAAGAAAGTGGGAAAATTGGGTGAGATCCATTTCTAGCTGGGGGATGTCCTCGAGTGAATCACTTCTTTACCTTTCAGGGCCTCAGTTTCCTCCTTTGTAAAAAGGACTCTTCCTCCCAGGGCTATTGTGCTTTGTAAGCCTTGAAGTTCTCCAGAAATGTGAGTCTGCTGTTGTTTCTGGCAGCACCCTGTGCCAGGCACCTGGGGGCAGGCAGGGGAGGGTCTAAGCCCCATGTTCCCGGAAAGGGAGATAAGGCTCATTCCCCCATCTCCTGCACACAGGCACGCACCTGCACCTTTATCAGCCAGGACATTCCAGTCGTGTTATTCATTACCAATGCGTTCCCCCTGCCTTCAACGCCCACAGTTGGGGAGGCCCCTTAGCCCGTGACATCCATCCCACAGGTAGAGGTGAAGAATGGATGTTCCACCATTCTCTGGGAAGGAGCTGGGCTGTCCAGGTTCTAGGGTAGCTGGTGGTGAGGGAGACAGGCAAGAAGACAGACAGTTTCTCTGCATCATCTGGAGGGATGAGTTTGTATTTAAAAAAAAAAAATCAAACAACAACCAAAAAAAACCCCTCCTCTTTTAATTAGGCTGGACAAAGAGATCTTGGGATGGCCAGAAGGCCAAGGCCAGGCATTCCTCCTGGCTGAGGTCATGGTGACCTTTGGTTATGGCTTTTAGAACAGTTTGGAAGAGATGGGGGTGGGGTGAGGTGGGGAGCAGGAGAGGGTCCCTCACACCAGGCCCCAGCAGGGAACCCTAATGGGAGGCAGGAGCCCCCCCCCCCAGCCTGGAATGGACCCCCTGCGGGTTGGCCAACAAAGTGTGGTGGTGAGGACAATGGGCTCCTGTGCTGTCCCCCCCACCTCCTCTCCCCTAGTCACAAAGGCTCCACTGTATGGCCCCAGCGAGGCTGTGGGTGTGGCATTGGGGGACGCTGGGCATCTGGTGCCCAAGGCTGGGGCGGGGGGGCTCAGAGCAGGCTGTCAGGCCCTCTGGGCTGTTCCCCAGAACAAATTGCCCTCAGCTGTCCCTCTTTCGGCACCCACCTCCCTAGCCCTAGAAATCTCATCTGACCAGGAAAGGAGAGGAGGGTGAGGGGGCAAGCCTGCCCTGCTCCCCTGACCGCCCTTTGAAGGACGTGTGTGTAGGGGGTGGGTAGGAATGGAATGTCCAAGGAAGGAGATTCCTGCCTAGTCTCTGCAAGTCCCAGAGGCTGCTGTCCCCACACTCCACAGACCCTGGTTCGGCCTGGGGGGACGAGGGGGTGGGATTTCCTTTCTTGGCCCTTCCCCTGCCCTCCACTCCCTTCCAGCTCCTGGCTTTGCCACTTGTCCTATTGGCTGAAGTGGATCGCTCCCCTCACCCCAAATCCTCTGCCCTCCGAGATGAGGTGGGAGGGGGGACTTCGCCGGAGGTCCCAGTGCTGGGCCGGCAGGGCCACACTCACATATTCACCTCATCATCCTCATCGGCAAATTGGAACGCGGTTGCCTGAACCGTGCTGGGGACCGGGGCCCTCCTCGGCTCCTTCTCGGAGCTGCTCCTTGCCCAGCAAGGGGAGACCCCTAGTGTCTCATCCTGGCTCTCCCACGAGGCCCGGCTTTGAGGCAACACCCCAGCGAGCTCTTGCCTCGCAGTGGCCTCGCTATAGTGGGGCCTGGGGCCCCAGCTGCCCATCCAGTGTCCCCTGGCTGGGTTCAGACTGGCGGCTGCTCTCGGCTTCTCGGGCTGGAGGCTCCCCGGCTTCTCCCCGGGGGGGCTCTTTGACACTGAGACCCCATTGAGACAGTGTCCCTGAGGTCGGGGCTCTGGGGCTGGGGGCTGGGGCTCTGCCGTCTGGGCTGGGCCTGGCTCTCTCCCAGGCACCTCCGCCAGGCTCATGGCACTGAGGAGCTCACTGAGAAGGGAGGGACCCAGGTCTAGGCGGAAGGAGAGCATGGAGTCAGAGCGATGGAGCTTGGGCCCCGAGTCAGAGCAATGCAGGTCAGGCTCTGAGTCCGATCGAGGCAGGTCAGGCTCTGAAGGGCAGGAGCTGTCCGTGTCCAGGGGCCTCTCAGTGGGTAAAAGGCGGGGGATGGTGCAGAACCCAGAATCCACACCTGGAAAGGCAAGAGGAGGCAGGCTCTGAGTGAGCTCCAGGGGCCAGCCCTGGCCGCTCCGTCCACCACCCTCCGGCCGGCCGGGCGCCCAGAACCAAGCCCTCTTCCACGTGTCTGTGGCCTCTCCCAACTGGAGCCTGAGCAGCTTGAGAGCAGGCAGCGGCTCATTCTTCTGTTCCTATCACAGGCGCCTGACACGGTGCCTGACCCCCACACCCGCATGAGAAATGCTCGAGCGGGAAGGATTCTGAGGCCACCTGGAGAGGCCGAGGGAACCTGGAACCTGGGCTCAGTCCTAGAGGTGCGATCGAGAAACCGAGGCCCAGGGATGAAAAATGACTTGTCCAAGGCTATGCAACAAGGTGTGGAGGCATATTTCAAAAGTCATGTTTGGGGGCAGCTAGGTGGTGCAGTGGATAGAGCACTGGCCCTGAAGTCAGGAGGACCTGAGTTCAAATCCAGCCTCAGACCATATACTTGACACTTACTAGCTGTGTGACCCTGGACAAGTCACTGAACCCCAATTGCCTAAAAAAAAAAGTCACGTTTGTTGTTGAGTTGTGTCTGGCCCTCCATGACTTTGTCCAGGGGGCTTTCTTGGTAAAGATAGTGGAGCAGCCTACCATTTCCTTCTCCAGTGTGGACCTATTTTATACACGAGGAACTGAGGCAAATAGGAGTAAAGTGACCTGCCCAGGGTCACACAGCTAGTTAGGGTCTGAGGCTGTATTTGAACTCAGATCTTCCAGACTTCAGGCCCAGAGCTCTATCCACCTCATTAGCTAGCTGTCCAATCAAGAAATAATACTCCTCTAACGCCCTTTCCAGAGGGGGAAAAGCCCCTAGGTAGGTCAGGACAAAGCAACAAAGAAGTCCTTTCCTTAAAGGGATTAAGGGTGATGACCCAATGTAACTCATCATCTAGCCTCCCTGGCCCAGGTGGAGAGGTCATTGACCCACCTAGGGGCAAGCTGTCCTTTGGCTGGCCCCCGGAAGTGATGGGAGGGCTAGCACCTACCTTTCTCCACTGAGTTGTGGCGAAGGGCCAAAGGTCCCTTTGTTTAACTCCCAGTGGGAGGAGGGCTGAGATGGGGACTCAGTTGCTCAATTCTGGAATGTTAATAACCTTAGCTCAATTTTAAGATCTCTGCCTTGTTCAAGATTCCTGTAAATGCTACCTGAAATCTTCTTGGGGCAGTCATGTTGGGTGGCATGGGGGACTATGGCCTTCTCTAAGCTAGAACTGGTTTGGATAGGGGCAGCTAGGTGGCGCAGTGGCTAGAGCACCGGCCCTGGATTCAGGAGGACCTGAGTTCAAATCCGGCCTCAGACACATGACACTTACTAGCTGTGTGACCCTGGGCAAGTCACTTAACCCCATTGCCTAGCTAAAAAAAAAAAGAAGTGGTTCGGATACACAAGAATGTTGACATAATCTGGGTCCCAAAAGGCTCAGAGAACATCTAGGCCAGGCCCTCATTTTATAGGTGACTTGCCCAAGGTCACACAGAATAGCAAGCTGCAAAGGCAGGCAGGACCTGAACCCAGGTCCTTGGACACCAACTTCCACTGAGCCTGTAAATAAGAATCTACCAATAATCATAATCCCTTGGGCTTTTCAGCCTCCACTGATAGGCAAAGCCCCCTGTCCTAGCGGTCCTGCCAGGAGAGCCGGAGTCCAGCCAGTGATGGATGTCAGCAAGGCTAGAGGGCTGGTCAGCACCCCCAGGGCAGGGGTCCTTTCGGCTGTCTGGGCTTTGTGCCTTACCTGCGTTGGGTGGCAGAAATACCCACTTAGGGTGGGAACAGGGCTGAGCCAGGAGTCACATGAAGGCCCAGATCTGAATGAATAAAAAAGCATTTAGGATGGACTCATTGTGTGGGCAGGAACCCAAGCTTCTATTTTCTAGCTGTTTGACTTGGGACCTTTCCAAGCCTCAGTCTGTCCATCCGTTAAAATGGGGATACTGCCTACCTCACAAGATAGCTGGAAAGAAAGCCTTTTGTGAACCTCAAAAGCTCAGAGATTTGGGTCACCCATAACAATGAATTCAGAGTTCTATAGAAGTTAGTCCACTAATGTCAAGGGCCTACTATGTGCCAGCTGGATGGCGCCATAGTGCACAGCACTCTGGGTCTGGAGTCAGGAGGACCTGAGTTCAAATCCAGCCCCAGACACTTCCTAGCTGTGTGAACCTGGCCAAGTCACGTCACCCTGTTTGCCTCAGTTTCCTCATCTGTAAAATGATCTGGAGAAGGAAATGGCAAACCACTCCAGTGAGGTCATGAAGAGTTGGACATGACTAAAAATGACTGAACAACAAGAAGTGTGCCAGGCAGTGTAGACAAAGACAATTCCTGCCCTCAAGGAGCTCCTAGTCCTAGATCAGATTTCCTGAAGATAATCACAGAGGGAATGGACTGGTCTCTTGCAGAAAGTGGGCCCTTTGGGGGGCAGCTAGGTGGCACAGTGGATAGAGCACTGGCCCTGGATTCAGAAGGACCTGGGTTCAAATCCAGCCTCAGACATATAACACTTACCAGCTGTGTGACCCTGGGCAAGTCACTTAACCCCCATTGCCCAACCCTCCCCCCCAGAAAAAAGTGGGCCTTTAGCTGAGGCTTGGAAGAAAGCCGAGGAAGCCAGGAGAGGAAGATGAGGAAGGAGAGCGTTCCAAATGTGGGGCCCAGCCAGAGAAAAGGCACAGGGTCCGGAGATGAAGCACTTAATCTCACCTGACCTCCTCAGTGAGGCAGATGGAACATCCGCTTAGAGCCACCTTTTATAAATAAAGGGACCAAGACTCAGAACGTTAAGTAATTCGCCTGAGACCACATGGCTAGTAAGTAGAGACGTCAGGACTTGAACCCAGATCCCCATGACTCCTGGCCCATTGCCTCCCACCCACCTCCCCTTTTAAACCATACCAACGATTTCATCAGATTCCTGATGGAAATCCCTTCTGTGCTAGGGAAGAGTCAGGTGTCTCTGCTCTGCAAGTTAAGAGTCTTGGAGATGGGTCCTGGGCACTAAGGGAAGTGACTTGGCCAGGGTCATACAGCCAGGAAGAGTCAAAATCAAGACTTGAACCCCAAACTGCTTGATTCAAGAGGCTGATTCTCCACCCCCAGCATCATGCTGCCTCCACCTCCCACATGTGTGGGGAACAGGTCAGAGGTGATGATGATGATGAACTGGCATTTATGTAGCCCCTTAAGGTTTGTAAAGCACTGTACACACACACACACACACACACACACACTCACTCATTTGATCTTTACAACAACCCTGAGAGGGAGGTGCTCTTATGAGCTCCATTTTTTTTTTTGTTGTTATTCAGTTGTTTTCATTTGGCGTTTTCTCGATCTCTTCTAAGATACTGGAGTCGTTTGCCATTTCCTTCTCCAGCTCATTTTACAGAGGAGGAAACTGAGGCAAATGAATGAAATGACTTGCCCAGAGTCACACAGCTACTAAGTGCCCAAGTCTGCATTTGAACTCACATCTTCCTGACTCCAGGAGCAGCTAGGTGGTGAAGTGGATAGATAGAGTGCTGGCCTGGAGTCAGGAAGATAAGTCTTCCTGAGTTCAAATGGATTTCAAATGGAGGCTGGATTTGAACTCAGGACTTAACTGACTCCTGGTCCAGTGCTCTATCCACTGGACCACCTGGCTGCCAGTGTGGTGGTCCTGTCAGCTTACAGACCAGACTGATGATCTAAGCATTCAACATTCACTCATTAAGCACCTACTGTGTGAGAGCAGCTAGGGATACAGAAAGACAAAGTAGGCCCTGCCCTCAAAGAGCGCACATTATGCCATCTGACTATTTAGAAAGCAGACAAAAAGGGCCGAAGGTCACTCAAGGTCACCAGAGCCATGCCCTACCCCCTGTTGAATTGAATTGAATCCACCTGAGCCTTTGTGAGTGACTCTCAACCAGTGGAGAAAGCAGGGAGCGATGTCCTTGGTTAGGTCAGGCCAACAGGCCTAGATCCCAAGGTCTCTCTGCCTGGTGCTTTGCAAAAACCACCGGCTCTAGAGGAAGGGAATCTGGGTGTAAATCCCACCCCTCATGCTTACTGCCTGTGTGCCTGTGAGACTTTGGACAAGTGCTTCACCCCACTAGGCCTCAGTTTCCTCATCTGTAAAATGAGGGGATTGGATTAAAAATACTTTCCAGTTCTGCAGGGATGGGCCTAATTTCTGTGGGCTTGTGATTTTTTTTTTGCCACAAGGTGGCAGCATTGCTCCATGGCTGTCTCCAGGCCAGGCAAGCCCCTGATTCCCCTGCCCCCTCTCCCAAGGATGGAAACCAGTTCCCTTAAGCTTTGGATTATTAAAGCTAGAAGGGTCTGGGGATGTCTCAGAAGCACAGGACTGGGTCTGAAGGGGTGCCCAAGGGGGTCCCCCGGTGAGATGTCCTGCTGCTGGCAGTCAGGAAGAGCTGGGTTCAGATCTCGCCTCCAGCGCCAGTGGGGTGACCTTGGGCAGAAGTCCGTTTACCTGAGCCTCTGCTTACTGCTCTGTAAAATGGGGATGACAATACCTGCAGGATCTACCTCCCCAGGAATGGGGGGCGAGTGGGGGGACTCACACACTTTGCACACTTTAAAATGAGATAAAAAATGCCAGTCCTCCTCCTCCTCATCGAGTCCAACCTGACTTTACAGATGAGGAGACTGAGTCCCCGTCCAACCTCATTTTGGCGAGAGGAAAAACCAGGTCCGGAAAGTGAAGTGCCTCACCCAAGGTCCCCAGCCAGGAAAGAGCAAAGCCTGCATTTGAACCCAGGTCTTTGGGCTCCAAACCCAGGGCTCTTTAGCACCACCATCCACCCTCCCCAGATTGAACGACTACCTGGTAAGCCAGGCGCTGCTGAGCCTCACAGAGGTGAAATGATGTGAAATGAGAGACAGGGGGAATTGGAGGGAGCCAGCAGGGGGCGAGAGGGGGTGGGGTGGGGTGGGTGGGAAGAACTCACTCACCGTAGCCATGGTGCCCATCGGGGGACCCCCGGGGGCTGTCGCAGAAGCTCAGCTTGCTTGCCACCAGGCCGTCGTAGCCTGCCTGGTGGAGCTGGGGCAAGGACACGGCATTCTTGATGATGGGGGAGATGGCAGGTGGGTCGGGAGAGGAGGCTGCCGAGGAGGTGAAGCCCCGGGGAGGAGGCCCTCCCCGCCGAACCTGCTGCAGGGTCCGGAGCAGGAAGCTTCTGGGAGAGCGCCCACCACCTCGGCCCACCCCGCCATGGTTGCTGAGGAACGAGGTGTCCCCAAAGACGTCCCCGCCTCGGCCTACGTGCATGGTGTGGCGGAAGTCGCCCAGGGGTGGGCTGATCATGTCTGCTGTGAGCTCGGCCTTCATCGGTCTCCTCTTCCTATGGGAGCCAGACATCCAGCCCAGCGCTGGCCCGGTCACCTTGGGCTGCTCGATCCTCCTTGTGTCCATGCTAACCTGTTTCTTGGAGGGCGATGGATGGTCAAGGGCCTAGAAGGCCCTGCCCCGACTTCAGCTTTTCCCCCGCCAGGGGCTGTCCTGGAGTGTAGTGGGAAGGCAGTGGTCGGTCAGTCTCTGAGATGAGGGGACTCTTTCTTCTCCTCACCCCCTTCCCGTGCTTGGCCTTCTCTTAGGGGCCAAGCGCTGTCCTGGAGGGTGTGGCTCATGGGGGAGCCATGGCCTTGGAAGGACTTGGGATGGAGCTCTCCCGGATGTCGCTAGAGCAGGTCTGACTGGCTGGTCTAGGCCCCGCTGTCTGGGAGGACAAGGGATTAGGCCAGCTGCCTTCTTCCGGGGTGAGGGTTGGCTGGGGACAAACTGGCGAATTCCAGCGGGTGGAGGAGACCTGAAGGAGGACAGAGTAGAAAATAAAGTCAAGGCTTAGAATCACCGAGCTCGAAAGGGGGGGCTGAGGACTCATGAAGGCTGGCCCCCTCCCTTGAAACAGGTTCAGAAAAGGAAGCCATTTGCCTCTGGTCACCCAGCCAGTGAGAACAGGGACTGACCAAGTACGAGAACCCAGCTAAATCCCTGGTTCCTAGGTTCCTTCCAGGCCTAGAGCTCTAGGGGCCCTGGGTAAGTCACTCATCTCTTAGAGCTTCAGTTTCTATTTTTGACAGCACCTACCTCACCTTGTTTTAAGGATGCGGTGAGCTCTTCTAATCAGAACACCAGAAAACGTTCTTCTTAAAGATCCCAAGATTATAGATTTAGGGTTAGAAGGGATCTCGGATCTCCAATCCCCATCCCCCTCTAATTTTATAGATGGGGCAACCGAGGCAGAGGGCAGGTGGACGATATGATTTAGAGTTGGAAGGGAGCCTGGAAATCATCTAACTCCTTCATTTACAGATGAGGCAACTGAGCCCCAGAGAACTCCAGTGATCTGCCCAAGGCAGGAGAGAGGAGGTCTGGGCAGGATTCGATCCCAGGTCCTGACTCCAAAGCTAGCTGTTTCTACTGTTACCGCACTGCTTCTGATCCCCCATTTCATAGAAGATCTCCCTGAAGTCAACCAGACGTTTGTTGATCATTCCCTCTCCCTCAGCCTCTGGAGTTGGAACACCTGGGGCAGCTAGGTGGTGAAGTGGATAGAGTGATAGGCCTGGGGATCAAGAAGTCCTGAGTTCAAGTCTGCCCTTGGATACTGACTAGCTGCGTGACCCTGGGCGCTCAATCTGTTTACCTCAAGTTTTCCCATGTGTAAAATGGAGATAATTATACCTCCTAGGCTCATGATAAAGTGCTGTGCACAGCACATAGTAAGTGCTTTATAAATGTTAGCTATTAATACCTGCCTCTGACACATATTGGCTGTGTGACCTTGGGCAAGTCATTTCTCAATGTCCCAAGCAACCTTCTAAGACTCTTCCTAAAGGCCCTTCTCCAGCTGTATGGGTTTCCCACAGGGAAAGGTCAGCTCCCCTCCTCTCTAGCTATTCTTCAGGAGTTCTTGTAGTCCAATGGTTAGAGAGCCTGTCTCAGAATCTGTCTCTGACATGTAGGATCAGCAGTGGGGAGCCTACCCAGGGCTTCTGAGGCAGGTTCAAGCCTAGGCTGAGTCACTTCTCTCTGACCCTCAGGTTTCTCATCTGTCAAATGACAAGGTTGGAATGTGAGACCATAATGACCCAGGCGACTCTCAGACTTATATTGCCAAGCAGGCAATGGTCTGCATTGGAGGGGTCTTGTCTCCGGGGGTTCCGTACTCAGACGAAGCCCCCCAAAATTCTTCACTTCACAACTGCTGCAGTCCAGCCTCCTCTGAATTCCCACAATCCTCTCTGCCACTTCCTGGCAGACTGACCTCTAGTAAAATCACCTCAAATCTTGGGGCCAATTTCTTCATCTGTAGAATGGGGATAATCAGCCCTGCCCTGCTGGAAGACCAAATGATATGATTGGAAAATAACTTTAAATATACACCTGAGAGGGATTATTATTCTCCCTCATTTGCCTACAGGGTTGTCTCCCTGTATAAGGGAAAAGGGACTGAACTTGGATTCAAATCCTGCATTTGTCAGTGACTAGCCATGTGACTCTGGGCAATCTCTGAGCCTCAGTTTCCTCATCTGCAAAATGGACATGATAATCCTTGCACAGGGTTATTATTCGGAGAAATGCTTCAATTCAGGAGTGGCAGCAGTGTGACCTTGGGTAAGTCACAACCTCCTGGAACCTTAGTTAACACAGTGCCTGGTACACAGCAGGCCCTTAGTAAATGTTTGTTGAATTGTATTGAATTGGTTTTCTCCTTTGTTTAAAAAAAAAAAGTGATGGTGGGTACAAAGGAAACCAGATATGAAGAAGACGAAAATATCTTTAAAAGAAGTTCACTGGACCTAGGTTAATTTAGAACCCTAAACTAGGGAATGCATAAAGTGCCTTCCAAATTTGAATCCCAAGATTGAGATCTAAATCCCTAGCTAGGGGATTTAGCTAGGGGCCTCAGAACAGGGATTGACCAAGTACGAGAACCCAGCTAAATCCCTGGTTCCTAGGTTCCTAGAAGGCCAAGCACGGGAAGGGGGTGAGGAGAAGAAAGAGTCCCCTCATCTCAGGGGCGCCCCCAAGACCTCCGGCAGGGGGCGCCTGTGCAGTGCTGAGGTCAGCTACGCAGAGCTGGGGGCTCCAAGCTAGTCAGACTTGGGTAGCGGACCCACTATAGGGGGAGAGTCATAGGGATGCCAGTTAGTCTCCATGACTGCCTTAGGCCAAAATACTCTTGGGCTCCTCGGATTGAGAGCTAGAAGGGTCCACTGGTGCAACCCCAGCATTTTACAGAGGAAAAAACTGAGGTTCAGAGAGGGAGAGTGATTTGTCCAAGGTCACACAGCAGCAGAGCTCCGGGCCAATGTATCTACACCTTCTTTTCCTGGGCGCTGCCTCTGCTGTGTGTGGGTCAAGCCGCCGCCCGGGCGCCACGTGTCCTTTGGGCCGCGGGCAGAGAGGTCATAGCCTGGAGACAGTTCCAGCCCCCAGCGCTGGCCAGGCACAGGCCGAGAGCGCGGTGCCAGGGTGCCAGGGAGCGCTAGGGCTCCGAAGGCGGGCTGGGAGGAGGGGCGAGGAGAGGGCAGCTAGGACAGGGCAGGCCTCATTCATAGCCCTCCCGCCTACACTCCCCCTCAACTCCCCCCCCACTCCCGTGTACACCGGCCTAATGGGCAAGCCTTAGGGAGGTCTGGGGAGATCCTGGAGAGTCTCTCCCAGAGTCCGGGAGTCTAGGAGGTGAAAGAGGGTAATGGGTGACCCAGGCTTCCTTCTCCGCCCCTTTCGTATTTCTGGATGTAAACCAGCGGCTGAAACCCAGCCAGGCAGGTAGTGCAAAATAATTCCTCCTTCCGCTCCATTCTTCAACCCCCACCATTTTAACATGGGGAAACTGAGGCTCAGAGATTCTGTGCTTTTCCCAAGGGTCACAAAGCAAGTATGTGTCAGAGCCAGAACTCGAACCCAGGTCTTCTGATACCACGTCCTGATCTCTAGCCACCACACACCATGACCCTTTGGGAGGCTTAAGACTTCTTTTCAGTCCTGCCGCAGGACCCCCGCTCCCCCCACCCCCACTCTGTAGAATGGAAGCAGGTATCGATTGTGCCCTAAGCGCAGGGCACACAGACCTATGTAACCTTACAAGTGGAGTTACGAGGGTCTCACCAACATCTGGAATTAAATCTACAATCTACCTTCCCTTCAGGCTCCGCAGCCTACAAGGACTTTCCTTTCCCGTCCCGTCCTGTCCCACCCTCTCTCTTTTCCTGTCACCTTGAGTAAAGAAGCCTTCCCCCCTCCCTTCCCTTCCCTTCCTCCCCTCTTCCAGCACGTCGTTTCCCCGTCGCCCGTCTCGGAAAAGGGTCCATCGATCCAGCTGTTTTGGGCTGGGGAGTGGTCAGGGGACCCCCAAGAGGGTAGACCCTCTTTGTGTTGCGGGGTGGGGTAGGCTCAGGAGGCTGGAGAAGTAGGGAGATTCCCCAAGTTGGGGGGGGGGGGCTGAATGGAAGATGACCTCATCGGCTTTCCCCAAATTCTCGGGCTTGGAAAACGCGGGCGGCTGGCCCGGACCGGGCGTCGGCGGGGAGAGGGGAGGACTAGGAGGTCAGGGCAAGCCTCCAGGTCTGCTCCCCCCCTCCCCCCAAGCCTTCCTTCCCGCTTTCAGGGCCGGCGTCTAATGGGGGGGGCGGGGGTGCAGCCCGCCGCCGACTCCTGGTCCCAGGCAGAAAATCTTCGAACAGCACTTTCCTCTCCCCCGCCTTCCCACCCCCAACCCCCCCGCAGCGACTCCCTTTCCTGTCTGAGACGCTGGAATGAGGAGCTGGGGGTGGTGGAGACCAGGCTCCAGCCTCGTCCCTCTGCCCAGCCCTCTGTGGCTCCCCCTTTCTCTTCTCCCTTACGTCTGTTCTCCCTCCTAGCTAACTCACTCGCCTTTCCCCCCCAAATCCTCCACCCCCAAATCCCCCAATTCAAAGCAACTCCCCCAAAGCTTTCTGCCTCATCCAGGCACCTCCCACAAACCCTGCTCTGTGCAGAGTGCCTCCCCCCAGAGCGCCTATCTCAGTGCTGGCCCGCCTCACCGTGCACCCCCTGCGGAGGCTGCCCGAGGTGGGCATCTTGACCCACACTTAGACGGCTGCCCCTCTTCCTTGCCCCTGCAGCAATGTCCCCTTTTACCTCTCTCCCTCTCTCTGGCTTTCTCTTGGTTTGTTTTCCCCGGCAGAGAAGGAAAAGAAAGTTTGGAGCGGCGGCAGTTTCTCTCCCTCCCCAGCGAGTCTCGGCCGCCCTGCCCCCGGGCACTCCAGGCAGATGCAGGCAGGATTGGGGGTGGGGTGGGACGGGTGGGGCGGGGGATACTAAAAGTTCCTTCCTCCCTGGCTGGTTGGGCCACCCGGATCCAGCGGCGGTGCCCTGTCCTCCCGGGTCCGTCTGTCCGTCTGTCTCGGTCAGTCTCACGGCCACCCGGAGCTCTGGCTTTCAAGCCAGAGAGGAGGGAGGGAAGGAGGGAGCCCAAGGGAAAGGGGGAGGGGGGCGTGGAGGGCGGGGCGGGATCTCAGCCGCTAGTGGCCAATGCCCTCCGAGGAACGAAGACAGCAAGAATTTGCTTGGTCCGTCCGGGGGAGGGGAATTCAGGCCTTTACTCTCAGTCCGTCCCCTCCTTTCTCCAAACACACATACAAACACGCTTCTTTTTCTGCCAAAGATCGTCCCTTTCAGGGCCTCAGTTTCCTTATCTGATCATTTGGTCAGGGGGTTGGGGACGACGGCCTGTAACGTCGATTCCTACTCGAGAAATGTAGTCCTCTGATCCTGTGGGACCGAGGTTAGTGGCCCGGCGGCAGCAGCAGGCCTGGAATGGCAACCTCCCCTTTGCCACGTGCCAGGACCCTGGAGTGGAGTCCCTACTCCCCTGACAGATCTCATGGGGAGAAGTTTCTTCCTCATTCTCCTTCCTCCTAGGTCACACAGAAGGCAGTGTGTGATATGGGTGGATTGTGGAATCAGAGAGCCTGAGTTAGAATCCCATCTCATCAACTTTCTACCTGTGAAAGACCTTTTCTGAGCCTCAATTGTCTTCTCTGTAGAATTAGGGGGCTGGACTTCTTCATAGCCTCTAAGATATCTTCCAGCTCTAAGTCCATGGTCCACGGTCAGTGAATTGTCACCTGGAGAATTGGAGAGTGGGATGAAATCAGAATGTGTGTGTGTGTGTGTGTGTGTGTGTGTGTGTGTGTGTGTGTGTGCGTGCATGTACAATCAGCAGAGGTACTCCAGAGTCTGGGACAGGCCTAGAGGAGGGGATCCAGCCCTCCCAATGGCTCTAGGGTTAAAACCCAAGGGCCTGGTCTCTGGTCCTGGCAGTGACATGGTGGACAAGAAGAGGACCATGGGTGAAGCCGAAAGCATGTGAAGCAAAACTGGGGCTCGCCCTGGGGAATTACCTATGAGACCCCTGAGAATTCAGAGTGACCCTTCTGCACTCACCCCCTTACCATGAGAATAGCCTCCTTTCTCAGGGCCTGGATCTGGACCTGAGCTGGACTCCCGGGCCAGCTTCTAAGATGTGTGCCCCCTTAGGTAAGTGGTGTGCCCTCTCTGGGTCTCAGTTTCCTGCTTTTTAAAATGCTATCTAAGGACAATTCCTGTTTTCGATCAATGACCCAATGATTTCCATCCAGCACTTAGGAGGAGCTCCAGTGGTCAATTTTAAAGTGCTTGTTGTAGTAAGCCAAGAGCTGGAGGCCAAGCAGATGTCTATCTACTGGGAATGGTTAAGCAAATTGGGGGGCATGGGTGTTGTGGAATATTACTGAGCCAGAAGTAAGCAAGATTATGAACAGAAGTATGGGAAGGTGGAGCAGTGGGAGGGAGGGAGGGAGGAAACACAGGAGGACATCCTTCTCTCAGCCTTCTTAGCAGAGGTGGGGTAGGTGCAGAGCACTGAATGCATCACAGAGCTGTGGCAGCTCTGGGTGAGGAGCGCTGAGTTACAGCTCGTGACTCCGGTGACTTTCAGCTAGTTTGGGTTTTTGTTTTTTCCTTTTATTATAAGGGATGGCCACGGTTGGGGAAGGGGCACAGGATGAAATTGATGGCTCTCTACTCACTGCTTCTTCCATCCATCAGATGCTTCCCTCCTCACTCCAGATGTCTTCTTGCCAATTGCCTTGTTATCGGGCTCAGAGACCATGCCCTCAGGTTCTAACTCTTTTATCTTCAAACTTCTGCCAGGGGTCAGACTACCCCACCCTCACCATTTCAGGTGGGCCCAGGCCGTGTGTGTTTCCAGCATCTCTATTCTCCATTTCCTCCAACCCCACTCTTCAATGTTTTGGTTTTTCCCCCAACTGTCTACCCTTCTTTCTCCTACCCTTTCTACCCTCTCCACCTCCCCACCTCTGGTTCTGAAACTCTGATCAAATAGACTCTTTCTTTGTTGGGGGGGGGGGTTGTCAATCTTCCCAAATGGCCCCATTCAACATTTCTGTGAAATGACCCTCCCTGGGCACTGGTCCCCTATACATACGGGCTTCCTTTATTAGAATATAAGCACTTTCAAGGAAAGGATTCTTTCTTTTTTTTTCCCTTTTTTTTTTGTATCCCCAGTACCTGGCACAGAACGTGGTAGGCATGTAAAAATGCTTGTGGGATGGCATTTATGGCTGCCCTTTACTCTAGGTTTTTCTGTCTTAATTTGTCCTTCTGGAGGAGGTGGAAGGAAGCATGTCAGGTCCAACCTGTCTTACTAATGATCCTCTCCCAACCAATATAATTGAACAGGGTTAGAATGAGGACAGACCAGCGAGATTGTCAGCACATCCTTGCCAGCAGCCTGGGTGCAACTCAAGGGTTAAACGTGGGCTGCACAGTCATCATCCCTGGGCTGCAGAATGCAGAACGAATCCCTTCCAGATGGGGGCAGGGGGAGACTACTTTGGGAAAATGACTGCTTGCTGTCCCCCCTCCGCCATCTCTTTCCCTCTTCAGGGAAGGGGGAGGGCCTCCCTTCAGGCTATGGCCATAGACTCCCCTGGCTAGCTGGCTTCCATGTCTCAGACCAGATAGGTTGAAGTAGGGAATGCAGAGGGACTTGGGACTTGGGGAAGAGACACAGGGGATGGAGAGGAGACAATACTGGCAGCATCCCCCTTCCCACAAAGGTAGCGTTCCACCCATCACCCTGATGGCTGCCCATGAGGAAGCTCAGATCTGGCCTCCAATTAAAGCTAGACCGGTGGTCATCTCTTCCACTCCTATCCCCTCCCTCTATTGTGTTGTGTCCTGGTCTTTTCATCCATCTGTCAGCTCCCCTGATGGCATGTGCCTCTGTCTCTCCGCCCGTCTATACTGCTCGGGCTGTGGAACTGGGTATCTGTCTTTCTGTTCACCAACCTGTCTATCCATCCATCAGCCTGTCCCTCTGTCCATCCACACTCACAGGTGCACTAGGCATTCAGCTGGTTTTCCCAGCAGTCTGCCTGTTGGTCCAGCCATTGGCCTCCCTGCTCAGCTGTCCACCCCCTACGTATGCCTCTAAAAGCATCTTGTCTCCAGCCGGTGTTAGCCACCAGAGGCCATTGGCAGGAGGCCTTGCCCTTGCCCTATCATACCCACGTGAAGTCAGCTGCTAGGCTGGCTCAGACCCTTCCCAGCCCCACCCTGGAAAGGGCAGAGAGGAAACAGTGGGAAAGGGAAGTAGGAGAGGGAGAGGGAAGAGAAGAGCAGTGAAGGCTTTGGTGCTGAGAAAATCACAGAAGGACACTGGGATAAACAGAACACCCCCCACCACCACCACCACATGCCGCCTTGTGTCCTCAGTCTCATTTCTTTGCAATGGCCACAGCCCTTAGACTCAGTAGTTACATCACTGAACAGGTTGGATTGCCCAGGGTTTAGGGCCTCTCCCAGCTCTGACACCCCAAATTCTAAGGCCCCTCCCGGCTCTGGCATTCCCTGTTCCAAGCTCCCTTCCATTTCTGACATTCCCTGTTCTAAGGCTTTTCCTAGCTCCAATACTCTATATTCTAAGGTCTTTTCTAGCTCTGTTATGACTTGCGTTAAGAACTCTTTCATCTTTGACATTGCCTAAAGTCCCTCCTTGCTCTTTTATTATTTATTTCAAACCCTGACATTCAAAGCTCAGACATTCTCTGCTCCTCTGGCTATTCCATTGTGTTTCCTGAGGTCCTTCTCAGGACTGACATCCTTTGTTCTAAAGTGGCCCCTCCCAGGCGTGACAGTCCATTCTCTGGCCAGTTATAGCTCTAACATTTGATGATTGTACTCAGCGCTTTTGTTTTCTATCCGGGCTGCTATTGTCCTACAATTTGGAATTGTTTCCTGTCTCTGCCATCACATTGTTCTATTCTCCTGGGCAGGATGGAATCTTCTACTATAGCGCCCACAGCCCCTGGGAACCCAGGGTGGGACACCCAGGGGAGGCTCAGTAAATGGCTGATAGATTTGTTATTCTTATCATTATTTTGTGGGGTGGGGGCAGAAGGAGTAGCTGTCCCCTGGGGGAGTTTGCTATGTTGATTTAGTTTTTACCTGAGCTCCTCAGCCCTGGTTGGTAAGATGCAGAGCCCAGAAACAATGGAGCATTTGTCCTTTTGGGGGGGGCTAGGGGGAGGTGTGGTTGGGAGGAGAGGACACTGGGACATTCTCTGTTCAGGAGCTAGGACTTCTAGCCTCCCTTGAGAAAAGCTGGGGAAGGAAGTGTCATTAGAAGCTTTGCAGCCTAGGAAATAAATCCAGAGAAATGACTTGTCCAAGGTCACAGACGTAACATCAGAAACAATGCTTTAATCCAGGGCCTCTGAATGCAGAGCCAGCACTCTAACCACCTATGTGTAATTCTCACTCACTTTTGACTGAACTTGAGTTACTACAAATTTTTGAAGGGCTTAGTGAATATCTCCTTGTGGAGGAGGGGTGAACCTGGAATGCCCTTCCTGCGTTTCTCTGTGTATCCAACCAAATCCCTTCTGTCCTTCAAGGTCCTGCCTAACTCCCTTCCCTTCCTGTGGTGAAGGGGTGAAAAGGATTGGATGGGTTCTCAGAAGTCCTGGGGTCCAGACTAGTTTTCCAGGCTTATTACATGTATTCCATGATTCAGCCACACTGGACTTCTAGCTATTTGTTATATATGATTATATATATATATATATGTATGTGTGTGTGTGTATATGATTATCTATATCTATATCTATCTATATATATCTATATCTATATATATATATCCCATCTCCCTGCCTTTGCCTAGGCTGTACCCCATGCCTGGAATGCACTCCCTTCTCACCCTCACCTCTTAGAATCCCTATTTTCTTAGCCTTTCTTACTCTCTCCTTTCTTGTTCCTAATTTTGTGCCCCCCCCCATTTATGTTCATATTGTTTTCCCCCAAGTAAGATCCTTGAGGGCAAAGACAGTTTCTTTTGTGTCTTTGTATCTCTAGTGCCTAGCACAGGACTTTATACTTAGTC